CTTAATGCAAGCAACCTTGAGGTATTTCAAATTCTTTAGAAATTTGTCTGAATTTCTGGGATGAGGAGTTATCATTATTTACATTATTTGTACTCGAACTATTTGCTTTTAATCATTTCACCTCAAGCACGGAAATAAAGGCACTAAGATGCAAAGAGTGTTAGACAATATGAAAAAAAACACGATTAAGAAGAGAGAATTGGAGGGGAGTTATAACTCTAATTAAATACTTATAAACCCCTAAGTTTATATGTAGCAAAATACTCGTAAAATTGAGAAACAGCAAGACGTGGAAACAACAAAACGAGTATTATTATTATCCGGTTGTTCTGTGGTATTAGAGACACAGAATAAAGTAATACTAAGTAAAATTGTGAATTTGGAGTCAAATGTAGATCAAATATAGATCGGAATCTGAAAAGAAAAGGATAAGATAAAGAATAAGTAAAGTGTTTAGATTTTTCTCATTTTTTTTAGGTGTGTGCAATGAGCGTCCAGATAATTTAGTTGGAAAATAAAAGAAGTGTCTAGGGTTTTCTTACTGCGAATTTTTGTTGAGTGCTAAATGGTAAATATTTCTAGTATGTCCTGAAAAAGGAAAAGGAGATGAAATTTTGGTTGACGCACGTTTTGACGACCTGTCCGTAAGAACTGCTTATCCGCTAGTGAGAATATCACGTGTTTGTGAGTGTAGGTTGTGGGGGTCGATTCTCGTTGGTTTAGAATGGTTGAATTGATGATAATTATAATTGTTATCATTATATTATTATAATTAATTTTTACTATAATTATTGTTTTATTCTTTTTACTTTTTGTGGACACGATAGAACAATAAAAAAACAGGAATTAAGAAGATAACGATTGCTATTACATTTATATTTTGACAATCAAAGTTGACCGAGAAGAAAGAACTCCGAAGAGTGTTCCACAAGCGAGAAGTGCGGGAGAAGAAACTGTTAGCATAGAACATACGGTTGCATCTTGCCATTTCCACTCACTGGAAAATGTCAATATACTCATCTTCGTTATTATCACAACTTTTCCTTCATCAGGTGCTTGTAACCTTCATAAGAATTTCGATCTCAAGTCTTTATTTAATCTACGGAGGGTGCTTGCTCTCGTTCCACTGCGCATGGATAAATCGTCTAGATCTTATTTTAGCACTGCTCAGTTATTGCTCAGTCTATGTTCCACTGAGTCGAATACCCGGCTAAGAGATTGGTTATATACTCTGGGCCGGGTAATGCAGACTTAGAGTCAGTAGAAACAGGAAGAGCAATAAATGAGTCAGTGGAAACAAAGAGAGCAATAAATGAGTCAATAGAAACAGGGAGAGCAATAAGTGAGTCAATAGAAACAGGGAGAGCAATAAATGAGTCAATAGAAACAGGGAGAGCAATAAATGAGTCGCATTAATAATAAAAAAAAAGAACACGATAAGATATTCTTTACAAATTCTTTGAAAGTTTCTTTATTTCATGAGAAAATGTGTATAATATAAAAAATACCAGACTAAGAATTAAATTAACCCTTCGAACGTTGATGAACTTAATAATAAAGTTCTGTATATATCGATTCTCCAGTCGAATTCGACATATGAGGGTCAAGCAGATCAGATCTAGAAACTGACAACCTGACACCAGCACATGTGATTTGATTATAGTGATAAATGTTTTGTGCAGAACCATCCACACTTTTTGAAGGGCTAAATACAAAGACCTGGTGCACTACGTGCCACAAGGTCCCCAAACGACTCTCTACAGGATTTGAATTCAGAGTTGTCCGCATCTAAGGCTATAGAACGCGGTCTGTCCTGCTATTAACCCATACCTGGAGTGAGATGAAGAGGATTAAAACAATTCCCAAAGGTATTAGCACGTAAGTGAATGTAATGGATTCTGAACCTGTAAATCGAACTCAGCTCTCGATTCCTCAATCCTCAGCACGCTATCCATTACCGAAGTGCCTCTGTTTATTTTTTTATATATAGTCTATCCCCTGACTATATATATATATATATATATATATATATATATATATATATATATATATATATATATATATATTGTTTATTTCGGACTTTAAGCAAGGTTTCTCAATTTTTTTATACATGTTTCGTTAAAAAACAACTTAGACAAGGTAATGCAATGAAGCTTTTTATTTATTATTCTTGTGTTTTCTATTCTAGACACAAAAATTTGTCCAAATGTTCTGCATATCCCAGCACTTTCTAGACATGATAATGACAAGAAGAATAGCCGAAACCGCTCGAATAGGCAAAACTTTTTAACAGTTTTTATACACCTTGTGTCCAGAAAAGAAAACACTTTTGGACACGATAGAACACAAAAAAAAATTAAAAAAAATTGTTTAAATGGAGAAGAAAAAAAAGTTCCACAAGCGGGAGAAGAAACTGTTAGCATAGAACATACGGTTGCATCTTGCCACACACTGAAAACACACACACACACACATACATATATATATATGTGTGTGTGTGTGTGTAAATCGTGTGATTGTGAAGACACTGTGTTATTGCTCAGTTTAAGAGAATTTTACATAAAAACCTAAAAGCATTCATTTAAAATAAATATAAAATCAACCTTGATAATAAAAAAAGAACAGTAAGATAGCCTTTGAAAGTTTTTATTTCGATTGTAACATATGGAACATTCAGACAATCTTTTTATATTTTATATCCAGAAAAAATATTCGAACACAAGAAAAATTAAATAAAAATAACTTAATTGCAGAGTTGTTTTCTTGTCTTGTCATCTTTAATGAAGAGGAAACTTGTATAAAATTGTAATGGATTCCACTGTAAATCGAACTACCTAAATACGCTACAATCTGTTTATAGTTTTTATATATATATATATATATATATATATATATATATATATATATATATATATATTTTGGGCGTTAAAAACAACTTACAAGGTAATGCAATGAAGCTTTTTATTTATTATCTTTGTGTTTTCTATTCTAGACAAAAATTTTAAACATCTTTCATGATTAAATATGAGAGACAAAGAAAAAAAAAATTTATTTAAAAGTTTTTTTATTTAGTTTTTTCAAGTTACATACGTTCTTTTAAAAATAGATAAAAGATAGATAGATAGATAGATAGATAGATAGATAGATAGATAGATTAAGCACTGATAGTTAAATTAACGATAGATAGATAGATAGATAGATAGATAGATAGATAGATAGATAGATAGATAGATAGATTAACGAAAATGCGATAGATAGATAGATAGATAGATAGATAGATAGATAGATAGATAGATAGATAGATTCAGAAAAAGAAAAGAAAGAAAAAGAGAAAGAAAAAAGAAAGAAAGAAAGTTACTTAATAACACGTTATGCCCTGCCAATAACTTCTATATAATGGTCTATTCCATTTTGATTGCGTGGAAAGACGGAAAAGAGACACTATTTGAATTCAATGAGAAGATGTAAGGAAGAAGAAAGAAGCTAAGTAGAAGTGTTAAACATCTGCTTTCAGTGAAATGTCAGATCGTTTTATCTATACCTCCTTAATTCTTTAAATAACCTCCAGCATGTATATTTATGATTGTTACTGCCAAGCTCAAATATTTAATGATGCAATACAAGAATTTCTACGAATTATTTTATTGTCGTAGAACTCATCACGAGTTTATTCAATCCTTAACTTTTAAGAATAAAGATTCATCAGAAAATTCAAAAAGGAAAACCGTGAAATTTTCACGGGTCCTTCTAATATCCAATATTATGTGGAAGCTGACATTCTTGTGAATCAACGCTGCAAATTGAATATAACTTGTTTTATTCCTGTCTAGTAATTATGGTTAATAGGTCTACTCTCGAGAAATACAATAAGTCTAGTAGACTCTGTAGAACTGCTACCCTATGTTAATCATGTTTATGACTAAGCGAGAGAAGGAGAGAGAAAAGTGGGCGAACAAGAAATATAGCCTCCTTCTTTCAAGACTTGTAGTGGGTGAAATTAAATATTAATAAGAAAGACATTCAAACAGACATGTTGCACTTCTACGATTTATTTAACATCACCGTCTTCAAATCTAGAATTATTCTTCCTCTTTTGTGCACCGTGTCTCTTCCGGATGTAGACGATCATAGATCTCCACAACTTCCTGTCTTTTGTCGCTAGGAATAATTCTTGAGCTTTTGCCATTTCTCTTGTCCCTGTTTTACTAAAAACACGTTAAGTAGGTTATTCGCTGTTTTCCTTTGCCTTTCTCGCCTTCAGCATGTCTTATGAGTGTTAAATTCTCCAAGTCGTCTTTTCTTACTGAATTTCAACTGATTCTTTCAGATTGTAGCTTTCTTGTTTCTATTTTTCTTAACTACCTCACTGCTCTTATTTTTTTTTCGATGTATTCCGAGTATTCGTCGATATACCTACAGCGTTTATTGCTGTATGTCTCTTCGTTAATTGTGATAAGATTGTCCCAAATTCATAGTCATATAGGGGATTGGATATTGCGTAGTAGTTTAGGCTTTCTTTGCTTCTAACAACATTTTCTAATCTCTCAGTACTTGGCTGGGTTTCTGAAATGCATTTTTTCTGTTACCACGCACCTTCAGATTTGTGTTAGATCCATGTATTACAATACTATATAGATACACTATCCAGATAGTAAAATTTCTGTAGTTCCTCTGTTTTGAAGTCCCCATTATGTAGTTCATATCTTGACTTGTCTCTTTTGTTGACAGAAGGATTACGCTTTTAATGGAAAAATCATCTTTTTGGAAGATTGTTTGTAAGAAAATGTTGTCCATTTAAAATCAGCCGTTCAAATTTGAAACATTTATTTTAATCCATCGTAATTTTCCCCTGACCCACAATCCGCAATCTTTTCTTTCAGAGATTAAGAGAGAAATAATAGAAGATTTAAAATCAAAATTCAGAAGCCAATTGAAACATTAAACACTTTTCGTTTTTATAATCCAATCTTAGTTCCTTATACGTAAAATTCAAAAGGATTATGTTGAACTGTAAGCAAAGCTTCAACTTTCTCTATCGAAAAAAGAAATGCTCATTTATAAATTTAATTCGAAAAGCATTAGACATCAAGGTTTAAGAACTGTTACTAGGAAGGAAGGAAGGAAGGAAAACGTTATACAAAAAGATATCAATTCTGTTATCTCGTTCCGGACACAGGTTTCATATAATCCTATTTTATATATAGGATTATTTGAGGTTAAGTTGTTTTGTTGTGCGTGTTTTTTTTTTGTTTTGTTTTATCTTGTTTTTTCATGTTTTTTATTTATTTATTTTTTTCTTGGATTCTTTCTTTCTGGATATCGAAGTGCATCAAGAATTGGTTCCTGTAGTTTTTGTTTGTTCATTTTGTTTTCATCCTGCCAATAAATCAACGTGCGGAAACAAGTTTCTCGTAAATCCTGTTTTATGTATTTCCTAGGCCGTCCGATTAATCCAGTCAACATCTTTCGATTTGCATAATTCGTAATGGTTCGACAACCAGAGAGGAAAGGATTTAAAATAAAATGGAGAATTAAAATGGCGGAAAAACAAGCGCAAAAAATCAAAACTGCAAGCAAAAGAATGTTTATAGACATTTGCACTAAATGTTTATTAGCAGTAATAAAATATACCATATATATATATATATATATATATATATATATATATATATATATATATATATCGAGTTGTCTATTATCTACCAATCTATATATCTATCTATCTCTCCATTATCTATCGATCCATCTTTGACGATCTCTCCGTTATCTATCTATCTATTTATCTATCTTTGGCGATCTCTCCATTATCTATCTATCTATCTATTTATTTTTGGCGATCTCTCCATTATCTATCTATCTATCTATCTATCTTATCTATCTATCTATCTATCTTTGATCTCTTCATTCTTCATTCTATCTATCTATCTATCTATCTATCTTATCTATCCTATCTATCTTTGATCTCCATTATCTATCTCTTCATTCTCTATCTATCTATCTTTATCCTATCTATCCAGACATCTATCTATCTATCTATCTTTGGCGATCTCATCTATCTATCTATCTATCTATCTATCTATCTTTGGCGATCTCTCCATTATCTATCTATCTATCTATCTATCTATCTATCTATCTATCTATCTTTGGCGATCTCTTCATTCTCTATCTATCTATCTATCTATCTATCTATCTATCTATCTATCTATCTTTTGATCTCTCCGATCTATCCATCTATCTATCTATCTATCTATCTATCTTTGGCGATCTCTTCTATCTATCTATCTATCTATCTATCTATCTATTAAAGATCTATTCATCCATTATCTATCTATCTGATCTCCATTATCTATCTATCTATCTATCTATCTATCTATCTATCTATCTATCTTTGGCGATCTCTTCATTCTCTCTCTCTCTATCTATCTATCTATCTATCTATATACCTATCTCAATCTATGTATCTATAGATCGATCGATCAATCTAGAGCTGCCCACTCTCTATCTATTTATCTATCTGCCAATCTCTTTTCATCTATCTCTGTATTTAATTCCATAAAATATCATGATGTTTTACTCGCGATTTCCTGCACACGTTTTAGCGATAAGCGTTAATGAATGTTTAAAATAACAAAGTGTAATAAAACATGCAATAGATGAGTCATCGAATGATTTGCTGCACTTAACCGGCAAGTGACATTGATGTAAATGGTTTGAAGGGAACTTAGATTATCTATCTCTCTAACACAGAATGTTCATCTTTCTAACTAGCAAGATAGGCAGATAGCTATCTCAATCTCATCAATATCTATCTATCTATCTATCTATATATATATATATATATATATATATATATATATATAGAGAGAGAGAGAGAGAGAGAGAGAAAGAAAGAAATAGTGGAACAGACTGATATATATGTATATATATATATATATAAATATAGGGAATATATATATATATATATATATATATATATATATATATATATATATATATATATCAATCTGTTCCCTATCTTTATATATATATATATTATACTCGACAAACGTACATATAAGTTTTAGATCTAAATAAAATTCTTTTCGTTTTTCATTCAAAATACTCAAATTTTAGGAATACGTTTTCACAACATCGCCCACGTGACGACGACGTGATCATATTTAAACGGAACGCTGATCTTTATAAAAGATTTCAGTTATCTTTTCAATTGGTATTGCTTTTATGTCCATCGTCTTTTTCATGTTGAATTGTATATGGTCTATATTGATTATGTTTTATGAATATGTCCTGAAGATGGTCTATTAGATCGAAACGTCCGACGTTGACATTAAACATTAAAACAGCATAATCGCACATTAGGATTTTTGTTTGTTTGTTTCAGTATATTTTCTTCATATATATATATATATATATATATATATATATATATATATATATATATAAAGAGAGAGAGAGAGATAGATATATCTGTCTGTTCCCTATCTTTTTATATATATATAT